GGATTGCATGAATCTGTAGATGAATCAAGTGAGTTGGTTCCTTTTTAATAAGATGTTCAAGTTTTGCGAGTTGGATATAGAGGTCTGCTAAATTATTACCTCTTGCTTTCCTAGCTTTAGCTTCTAATTGGATAAAATACCCCCTCATGACACATTTAAATGATGCCCAAAGAGTCTTATTAGAGACCTGACCATTATCATTCAACGCAAGATAATCTTTGGCTAGATATTCTAATTGAGCTCTGTTTTGTTCTATCATTAGGATAGAGTCATCAAGTTCCATTGTGGTCTAGATTTAAATTCAGAATTAATGCCTATGAAAAACATTTATAGCAGCATGATCTGGCCAAACAATAGATCCAACTTCAGAACATACAAACTTATTTAGATTCAATGCGTCCGTAATGAATAGATCAATTCTCGACTAGCTTAAATGAACTTTAGAAAAAAAAGTAAAAAAAACTAACTTTCAGATGTTGAGTTCTCCAAATGTCATATAAATCGTATTTAACAAAAATCTCTTGTAGCCATTTGGAGATTTGTATAAATTTAACATATGCTTAGAAATTTTTGAATTTTTATCCATCTTAACATCTAAAATTGTATTCTAATCGCCACCAATGAGTAAACCCCCCCCCCTTTTTTTCCTCCACTTTACCCAAAAGTTTCTTAAAAAATATATCAGAGAAATCATTTGGCGCATATAAATTAACAAGGGTATATATAATGTCATTGAGTTTACAAGCTAGAATTAAAAGTCTGCCCAACGGATCTCTTTCAATGTGAAGCTGTTCAAATTTAATCTTCGATGAATGGCCACCCCTCTCTTCTTGGAATCAGAGAAATTTGAAAATTTTGTAAATTTCCAGAAGGTTTCATCCTTCCTCCAGTGGGTTTCTTGTACGAAACATAAATCGATTTTTTTCATCACTCAGCATTCTATATAAAAAAAACTCTTAATTGGGGAGTTTAATCCATGTGCATTGATGGAAGCTAACTTAACTGACATTATTTTATAATGTCATCCCCAATTATCCCCGAGATGATCCTTCTCGTGCACAGACAGGCTGAGTGCTCTCTAACCTCTACAAGTATCACAGCACATAGACTAAACAATCACATATAAAACACCAAATATGCTACTATAAAGGGTATTACCTGTGGTAGCTGCCCTGAGAAAAGCATCTCAAGAACACAGCAAGAACAATAAAAAAGCAAGACAATAAAAAAAAAAAAGGGACATTCAGTTGCTGATGGCTATTTGTATGGTGAATTATTAGAAAATAGAAATGTTGCACATGTAAGCTAAAAGGGAGGCCTCTACATTGGAACATAAGACAAGGAAGTATATTCCATTCTCTTGTTATTACTCTAGTGTTTCTCCCTCTCTTCCCCATCTCTATCAATAATATTATTTCCTTAAACATTATATGTTAAAAGAAAAATTATAATTACATTATTAGACTCCCCTTGTTTCTGTATTATCCCAAAGGTGACATCTAGTCAAAATTAATTAAATTATTTAGCAAGGGAAGATCTGCTGAAATAGTTGAGAGAGCGGGTATTGGTGCTATAAACAGGAGTTCCTTGGGGGATATTAATAGGGAACTCCAGTTTTTCCAGGACTGTAGTAGAAATTTTGTATATGGCAGCACAATAGTGCTTTTGGGCCTAGATGTTGTCCACAGAAAGTCAGAGATCTGGGTTAGGCCGGTGCATGCAGATTCAAATCGGAGCCAAATTGGTTTAGTTCTGTTTGTCATTAAATCTAGACACTGAGCTAAAATTGCTGCTCTATAGAAATTTTTAATATTGGGGACATTTAGTCCTCCTTTGTGAAAGGGTAGCCAGATCGAATGAAAGGAGACCCGTGGATCAAACGCCTTTTTTGCGTATCTCATATAATTTTAACTGTGACATTTCTTCATTATAGTATATCATAGTATATTAAGTGATACAATCCTATAAGTGAAGGGTAAGTAAAAACTATTTGAAAGGTTAAGGGGGGAGGGGAAGGACGGGCTCGTATTACCTAGTCTAGTATACCTAAGCCCTACCATCTGAGTATATCTTCTAGAGAATCTTTAACAATTAAATGTTTCCTATTGTGTAATATTATTAATTTAGTGGGAAATCCCAATCTGTAGCTTATATTTTTGGATCTCAGTTGTAGTGTTATATCTTTAAAACATCTTCTTTCCATACTAGTAGCCAAAGAGAGGTCTGGAAATACCATTATCCCTTCAAATTTTTTATCTCTAACGTGTGGATTGAATCTCAACTGTTTCATAAATAGATCTTCTACAGAAGAATTTAGGAACATGATAATTACATCTCTAGGAGAGGAGGAATCACTGTTTCTGGCTGTATAAATTCTATGACATCTCTCAAGAGGAAATAGAGTTAGCTGGTGTGTATCAATAAATTGAGCAATACGCTCAGTGACATCTCCCATTAAACTGTAATTTTTTTAAATTCTATATACCTTTAAGTCTTACATTGTTTCTAAGGGATCTATCTTCTAACTGAGTTAATTTGTTATCCATTTCCTTAAGCTGATTTTTTAGAGATATATTTTGAGACTGCAGGAGAGTAAGTTCTAAATGTGTTTCTTTCAAGTTCACTATTCTGCTTTAGCAATTTAGAGTTAAGAGTAGACATTTATTTAATTACTTCTGCTTAATTTTGTTTTAAATCATTTTTAATCTTTTCGAAAAGGTCAACCATCATCTTTGTCAGGCTTAGATTTGTAATAGACTCTGAAGAAGATTCTAGAGGTACTTTATTTACCTGACCATGCTCTACGGGAGGGATATAGATCCTCTAAAAGATTGAGAATTATTAGGTTCTGACTTGGGAGAATAATATACATTTATAGATGTGTTCTTTTCAGTATAACTAGCAGATGGAGGAGGTTTTTTAGGATGCATGTTTTAGAATTCGAAAAAAGCAAAGATTCAAATATCTCCGGATACAAAAAAATAAAAAAATAACAATGTATGTGAACCTTCCTGCCTCTCGATCCTTAAAGAAAAGGAGAGATGAATAGGAGGAGAACACAAAACACAAAAAAATAAATAAAATCTTGAACCTAAAGTGAATCTCTTCTGCCTCCACTCTATATAGGAGTGAAGGAGGAAGGGAGGGACCCAGGCAGAAAGAAAAAAAAAAAAAGGGAAAGATAACCCAATTATTATTGTATCAATTCAGCAATAAATATTTAAGTCTCTTTGATAATCATGAACAAAAAGTGTCCCATATTATTATTATTATTATTATTATATTTATAGAGCGCCGTCAAATTCCGCAGCGCTTTACAATGGGTGGACGAACAGACATGTAGTTGTAACCAGACAAGTCGGACACACAGGAACAGAGGGGTTGAGGGCCCTGCTCAATGAGCTTACATGCTAGAGGGAGTGGGGTAAAATGACACAAAAAGGTAAGGATAGTATTAGACTAGTGACCGTTGCAGAAGAGACAGACACAGGAGTAACAACACTTGAGGGAGGAAAGACCAGAATTTCAGTTTTGGTCAAGTTTAGTTTAAGGAAGTGGGCAGCCATCCAGTTAGAAACAGCAGAGAGGCAGTTAGAGACACTAGTCAAGAGGGATGGGGAGACATCAGGAGAGGACAGGTAGATTTGCGTGTCATCTGCATAGAAATGATATTGGAAGCCAAAGGAGTTAATGAGTTTACCAAGGGAGGCAGTATAGATGGAGAACAGTAGGGGACCAAGGACTGAACCTTGGGAGACACCAACAGAGAGGAGTTGGGGAGAAGAAGCAGAGCCAGAGAAAGAAACCCTGAAAGAGTGCTGGGAGAGGTAGGAGGAGCTCCAGGAGAGAGCAATATCTTGTAGACCGATATTGCGGAGGATGAGAAGAAGCTGTTGATGATCAACAGTGTCAAAAGCCGCAGACAGGTCAAGGAGAATTAGGATAGAGTAGTGACCACGAGATTTTGCAGCGAGTATATCATTGGATACTTTGGTCAGTGCCGTTTCCACAGAGTGCTTAGCGCGGAAACCAGACTGAAGCGGGTCTAGCAGAGAGTTGGACTCGAGGAAGTCTGTCAATCTCGCATACACAATTTTTTCAAGGATCTTGGATGCAAAAGGCAGTAGCGAGATAGGACGATAGTTGGATGGGGAGTTAGGGTCAAGATTGGGCTTCTTTAGAATTGGGGTTACAGTTGCATGTTTGAAGGGCAATGGAAATATACCAGAGGAGAGAGAGAGATTGAGAATTTTAGTGAGAGGTGGAGAAAGAGAAGAAGACAGAGTACATATAGAGTGTCTTTTCTGACTTCTTCCTTTCTCTTTTTCTCTTCTCTATGCAAATTAACCTAAAAACTTAAAATAATCCAGTAAATAATAAACCAAAATAAATGAACCAGAAATTCCTTGGCAGATAATAGAGAAAATAATATATTCTTAGCAGTTTGTGCTTTTGACTCAAGTTCTCAGGGGTATTGCTGTTTTCTCTTGACCAGAGCCCATATGATGAACATGAGAGGTGGAGCAGCTTTAGTAGACACTTATAACACTTTTGTGTCGCTCATCTTTACACTTCTCTCTCTTTTAGAATATATCACAGTCCCGTTATAGGTCTATATCCAGATCTGGAAGTCTTCTACTATTTTGTACCCTATCTTGATTGTAAGATTTCCGACACTCGGTCTTTCACTTTAATTTTCTTTTCTTCAGACCCCTTCTCCCTCATTTTATTATATTTCCTTCCTCTTTTCTCTTCACTCCTTCCCCTTTTTTTTTCTCTTGAGGGTACTCCAAATTAATATGAAGGAATAGAGATATCACTTTAAAGAATCACCACTCTTGGCCCCTTCATGTGTAACACAACAGATTTACACTTGCAAGGAGGCTAGTAATAAACAAACTTTATCTTCTGCCTCTATTGAGGAGCTGTTCCCTGTACACAGACCCGGCAATAAAAAACATAAATGCAAACCACAATAATAATTCCGCTTGTCTCATTAGATTGATTGTCCGCAAACTCACACACCCCACTTGATTCACTTCTGTGGAGGAGCTCTCAAACTTCCAAACCACCAGCAGCAACCTCCGGATCAGTCAAGTGACAGCCTGGCTCTATATTTGGATATGGAGCAGTTGCAGCCGAGGGTCCGAATTATTTCAGGTAAGTGTGCCAGAAAAAATGACAAACTTCCATGCGGTGCATACGGGTCTCTCTCCTCGCATCTCGTATTGTCATACCAACATACAGCCACGCTTACGACATTCACGCCATGCACTTACGTTATCACATGGCCAACACACTGGACAAAATTCTAAACACAACACTTTTGTATCTGGTGTGATCACCCTTTTCCTCACGCAGTGCCAGTGCCATCTTAACAACATCATGGGAAAAGCAGTGCACTTGGGGCCCTGCCTACACAAAACTCACAGGAATAAAAATTTTAATTATAGCTAAATTAAGCTTATATTAGTACCTCCAACAAATGCAATACATACATACATACACACACACACACACAGACTGCTGCCCAGCGTGCCCATGGGGAAAGACGCCCCTGCGCAGTGCAACACATCTCCTTTGCACAGAGTTGATCAGGTTTGTAGCGGATGGCATTGGGCTGTCCTAAAAAGTGCCTTTATGTCTATGTATTCGGCTAAGTTGTAATCTGTATATGTGAAGTTTATGTAGCATTCACCTGATTGTTCGGTAGAATCACTCCAGTATTATGCGAATGAAACTACCGAACAATCAGACCCCCCCAGTAAGAAGTGTGCCTCCAATTACTGTTCGCAACAATGTTGCAAATGGGTAATTGATGGTTCGTGTAGTAGGTCCTTTGTTCTCTGGGTGGCCGCCATTCGGGAGACAAACACGTGGCGGTGGCCATTTTAAAACTCCCGAACAGTGGTGTTTTGCCATCGAGTGTCTGGAACCCAAATCGGACACTCGTTAGGCAAACACCGCTGAGACCTCCACACTGCAGCCAATTCATATGCAAACTACCGCTTCTCGTTCGGTAGTTTGAATCCCACGAACAAGGGAAACTACACGAAACCTCCCCAGCTCTCCTAACACAAGTCATTTGTGTGTTATATTCCCTTTTGTGTGACTGACCGCAGGGCCAAAACGCATGGAGCCCTTTTCGGCTGGTAAACTCAGCGCGGTCGGTCATTTTAGTACTTCCATAAATTTCCCGAAACCCTGGTCCGATCTGGGTGATTTTTGGATATGTGTCTCACCCAGATCAGGGCTACCAGGGGATGTAACATTTAAAGGGGTACCCCTACGTTTAGGGGTATATCCAGAAACTCTGGGAATTTGTGTCCTGCATAAAGGGATTATGTGTCACACTAAGGGGAGGGGATGTGTGGGTGGCAACTAGTGGAGGATTGGCTACTGTACTTATTATTGCAAATCCCTCCCTTGCATGGGAGAATGCTTTATAAGGAAGTTGTATGCATTAAAAGTGAGTTCTGCTCCTGATGCTGTGTGTCGTCCAGTCATTGGGATCCATATTGGGATATTCGTGGATTACCTTGCTTGCTGTGATTATTATCCTATGGTATTTTATAACTTGTTCCTGAGCCTTACTGGGATCTTTAGTGGAGTTAACCTGTGAAAGACTAACTCTCCGCTACAAGGTTGTTGATTGTGGCCTGTGGAATGTTGGTCCACTCCTCTTCAATGGCTGTGCAAAGTTGCTGGATATTGGACCTGGAATACGCTGTCATATACGCCAATCCAGAGCATCCCAAACATGCTCAATGGGTGACATGTCCGGTTAGTATGCTGGCCATGCAAAAAACTGGGATGTTTTCACGTTCCAGGAATTGTCTATAGATCCTTGCAACATGGGGCCGTGCATTATCATGCTGCAACATGAGGTGAATGGCACAACAATGTGCCTCAGGATCTCGTGCATTAAAAATGCCATCAATAAAATGCACTTGTGTTCGTTGTCCATAACATCTGCCTGCCCATACCATAACTCTACCGCCACCATGGGTCACTCGATCCACAAAGTTGACATCAGCAAACCACTCACCCACACGACGCCATACACACTGTCTGCCATCTGCCCTGTACAGTAAAAACCGTGATTCATCCTTGAAGAAAACACCTTTCCAAAGTGCCAGATGCCATTGAATGTGAGCATTTGCCCACTCAAGTTGGTTATGACGACGAACTGCAGTCAGGTCGAGACCCCAATGAGGATGACGAGAATGCAGATGAGCGTTCCTGAGATGGTTTCTGACAGTTTGTGCAGAAATTCTTTGGTTATGCAAACCGATTGTTGCAGCAGCTGTCTGGTGGCTGGTGTCAGACATCTTGGAGGAGAAGATGCTGGATGTGGAGGTCCTGGGTGGGTGTAGTTACACGTGGTCTGTGGTTGTGAGGCCGGTTGGATGTACTGCCAAATTCACTGAAATGCCTTTGGAGATGGCTTATGGTAGAGAAATGAACATTCAATTAATGGGCAACAGCTCTGGTGGACATTCATGCGGTCAGCGTGCCCCTCCCTTAAAACTTGTGACATTTGTGGCATTGTGCTGTGTGATAAACATGCACATTTTAGAGTGTCCTTTTATTGTGGCCAGCCTAAGGCACACCTTTGCAATAATCATGCTGTCTATTCAGCATCTTGATATGCCACACCTGTGCGGTGGATGGATTATCTCTGCAAAGGAGAAGTGCTCAGTAACACAGATTTAGACAGATTTGTGAACAATATTTGAGAGAAAGAGACCGTTTGTGTACATATAAAAAGTCTTAGATTTTTTCCTTCCTCACATATGTTTTTGTTGTTGATCCAGTGTTGCATTTATAATTTTGTTCTGTGTACATATTATATATATAAATGTAGATGGTTTTACATCTTTTCCTAAATTGTGTTTCAGAGCTGTTGTAAACAGTTTAAAATGGAATAAGGCAAAAATGGGATTCTTTGTTAAAATAATTTGCATATGCTCACCCAGAATCCTTTGCAGTAATAACATCACTGCAAATATGTGATTTCTGTGGGAAAATCAAGTCTTATGGCTTGACTGGTGTGCAGATTTTTGTTTAACATTGTATTAACTATATAAATATATATATATATAAATATGTATATATATATATATATATATATATATATATATATATATATATATATATATATATTTTATATATAAATAGGAGCCCGCAATCTAATAGTAAAAAAGCATATACTAACTTTATGAATACATGTTTTTATTCATAACATTAGAGTGTTTTCTTAAATGGGTGCCCAGTCAGAACATTTCAGTCACTTAAAATAACATCTACTGTAGCTGTGCAAAACTACTTTACTGCCATAATAAATTACATCATAATTCTCTCCCCTGTCTCCTCTTAATGTACCCATCATTTGCATTTCGTTTCATGATTGTGATAGCAGTGTTAGTATTGCATATGCAATGCGCTGTGGTTGAATATATGTGCCTGAAGCAGTTTTATTTATAGTACTGCAACTAATATCCTTATCAGGATCACTGCAGGCTCAGAACAGTGTTTTTTTTTAATCTGCCTGTTTAGTAAGTTTACTACATACATGCTTTTACTTAACTACCAAATTATATTCCCTCTTGTTAAAGAGCTAGTGAAAATTGTGGAACCTATATGCTAACTTTACCTGAATTATTTACTTAAGTGAGAATTATTTATTTATTTATTTATTTTATTTGGTTTTGATAAGAAAAAAATAATTACATTCATTATATATTTCCCATGTAAATCATGTAACAAAAAAACCTGACAAAGTAACAAGATATACAATTCAAAGTACAAAGGTACAATTAATGAAAGTACAAAACATGGACACGGTTCTTCAGCATTACAGAAATGGACATGTTACAGTGGAGATTGAAACAGAATGATGGATGACCATAGGGGACAATCAAAATAGGCATCATGAGTATTTATATTCGAATCATTCCACTTTACAAATGGTGTTATACAATAACTCACATGAAACTCAGCTTATAAAGTACAATAAAAAGCACAAACAGATAAATCTATCATAAGGCAAGAGCTTTCAGATATCACTCTGTTGTGTGTGGTAAAATGTGCACCCAAGGTTAGATTTGGTCAGGAGTAGGGTCATGTATTAAGGGGCTTTGTGGAGAGTCCCTCCTGTACCGGTCCCAAGGTTCCCATAATTTTACTGCTTCTATTTCTTTTTACTTTTTTTTTAATATATTCTTTATTTCATTTTTTTCTTTTTGATTACACAAAAAAAGAATAACAACAAATATTACAGGACCAAACATCTACATAAATGCACCTTTTCTTCAATTAATCTATCTTCCTTTTTGTGTGCATTATAACAAATATCAAATACAGACAGTAATGAAAGAAAATGACAGTCAGAGTTCACATAATCTATTATGTTATAGCTATTTTTCAAATACAGCGAATAGAATAAAGAACAACATTTTTGTCATTTGCACATTGTTTGAGATTGCTTATCCAAATATCAATCTTAATTATTTTTTTTTGAAAAGGGAGAGGTTATTTGAATGCTATTCTTCTCCAAAGACAATTGCATTATGATTTGGTTTTTGACATGTGCCCAAGAAGTAGCTTGATTATCTTTCCAGGAGCGGGCAACTAGTATTTTACCAGCAATAAAACAATTAATAATTAAGTATTGATCTAATTTTCCTAAATTGGGCCAGTCTAGATGGAGTAGGACCACTTTTGAGGTTTTAGGGAGATTTTTGATACCCATATGTTCCAGAAAAGCAAATACCCAAATCCACATTTTCTGGATCCCTATACAGCTTCACCTGATATGTCTTTAAGTACCCACCGTGTGATTGCATCGCCAACAGATGTCAGAATATGTGAGACTAGATCCTATGCAATCTTTTTGGAATGTAATACCACCTGTTAGATAATTTAAAAAATGTTTCTATGTAATTTAAACAATGTATAGTTTTTGTAACTAGGTAGAAAGCCTCGTACCAACTATCTTTATCTATTCTGCATCTTAAATCCTTCTCCCACTTAGATATTGCTAACGGGACAAGAACTGGAGAAATTGAACCTATTATAGCTATAACTTTGGAAATGGCCTCTCAGTGCACTCATGGTTCATCAAATTAGATAGGAGAGAGCTAGTGCTGAAAGGGGGT